AAATTGGACATGAAATGTGAACAGGAACAATGTATCATGGCTGCAGCCAGGGGAGCATTTAAGAATGTTACACAGGAGTGTCATGGCCTCCACAGTTCTTCCAATGGGGGACTCTCTTTTGAAACAGACCATGAGCAGGAAGTGAGTCTCCCATTCAGGAGTAGGTATTTCCTGCTGGGTTTCCACTGGGCTGTTGTCCTGGCAATGCAGGTGTGTGTATGTGTTGGTGTGTGGGTATAAAGGTCGGCCTGGAGGGAGCAGATGCTCCAAGCAGGGCTGCGGAGACTCACAAAGCGGCTGGAATTGTTGTTGCGCACAGTCTTGGCGTTGCCGAAGGCCTCGAGTAGCGGGTTGGACTGCAGGATGATATCTTTGACGTGCTGGGGGCAGAGGCAGGTGGGGTGGGAAGAGGTCAGACTGGGGCAGGAGTGCAGATGGGCGGGGCTGCACTACTGTGTAGGTGAGGGTGGCCCAGCTCATCCTTCTGTTTTCGTCGCCTCACCTGGACCTTCTCGCCTCCGCCAGACACCTTGGAGATGTACCCCATGATATATTTGGCTGCCACTGTCTTCCCAGCTCCACTCTCTCCACTGGGGATGAATGGAGGAATAAATGATCAGTGGATGGGGTTGTGATGAAGAGCCCTTTTTAGTGACTAACCATTCATTCATTGAGCACCTACTACATGCCTACCACTATTCCAGGTACTGGGAATACCATAGTGAACAAGATAAAATCTCTGCTTTCAGCTGGGTGTGGTGGCTCATGCCTGTAATCCCAGCACTTTGGGAGGCTGAGGAGGGCGGATCACTTGAGGTCAGGAGTTTGAGACCAGCTTGGCCAATATGGTGAAATCCCATCTCTACTAAAATACACAAATTAGTGGGATATGGTGGTGGGTGCCTGTAATTCTAGCCACTCGGGAGGCTGAGGCAGGATAGTTGCTTGAACCTGGGAAGTGGAGGTTGCAGTGAGCTGAGATGCCGAGATTGCGCCACTGCACTCCAGCCTGGGTGACAGAGTGAGACTGAGACACACACACACACACACACACACACACACACACACACACACACACAAAATCTCTGCTCTCATAGACCTGGCATAGATTGACTGACTGAGATGGGGTCTCACTGTGTTGCCCAGGCTGGAGTACAGTGGTGATCATAGCACCTGTTGCTGCCTGGGACTCCTGGGCTCAAGCAATCCTCCCTCCTCAGCCTCCCAAGTAGCTGGGGACTATAGATGTGCACCACCGTGCCTGGCTAATTATTTTATTTTATTTTTTAATTTTTTTTTTTTTTTGAGACGGAGTTTCACTCTTGTTAACCAGGCTGGAGTGCAATGGCACGATCTCGGCTCACCGCAACCTCCATCTCCTGGGTTCAAGCAATTCTCCTGCCTCAGCCTCCCGAGTCGCTGGGACTACAGGCGTGCGCCACCATGCCCAGCTAATTTTTGTATTTTTAGTAGAGACAGGGTTTCACCATGTTGACCAGGATGGTCTCGATCTCTTGACCTCGTGATCCACCCGTCTCAGCCTCCTAAAGTGCTGGTATTATAGGTGTGAGCCCCCACGCCCAGCCTATTTTATTTTTTTTGAGATGGAGTCTCGCTCTGTCACCAGGCTGGAGTGCAGTGCTGTAATCTTGGCTTACTGCTCCCTCTGCCTCCTGGGTTTAAGCAATTCTCGTGCCTCAGCCCCCTGAGTATCTGGGATTACAGTCGTGTACCACCACACCCAGCTAATTTTTCTAGTTTTAGTAGAGACAGGGTTTCACCATGTTGGCCAGGATGGTCTCGATCTCTTGACCTCGTGATCCACCCACCTCGGCCTCCCAAAGTGCTGGGATTATAGGCGCAATAGAGACAGGATGTTGCTATGTTTGCCCAGGCTGGCCTTGAACTTCTGACCTTAAGAAATCCTCTTGCCTTGGCCTCCCAAAGTGCTGGGATTACAAGCATGAGCCAACACTCCTGGCCTGAGGTGACATTTGGAGGAGACAGACTGACAATAGCAGAATGAACAAATAAAATACATCGTGAGTCAGATGGTGACAAGGAAAATAAAACAGGGTGAGGGCAAAGAGGGACAGCAGGGCTCTGTTCAGATGGGGAGTTTCAGGATAACCTCCCTGGGGGCAGTGATGATGTTTCAGCGGGGGCCCGGGCAGCAGGGTCTGTGGCCCCCCCAACCCCATCCATACCTAATAATGACACACTGGTTCTCACAGTCGATGAGCATGTTCCGGTACATGTTATCCGTGAGGGCGTAGATGTGCGGGGGATTCTCATACTGGGCCTGGCAAGGGAGATCACGTCTCAGCCCAGGGCTCGGGGCCAGGGGTCTCGGGGCTGTGCCTCCCACCCAGCCCCGGCCTCACCGCGCCCTGGTAGAGGTCGATCTCGCGGTCTGTGAAGTAAGGCATCTGCTTGAAGGGGTTTACGGAGATGAGCACGGAGCCGATGTAGGTCTGAGGGATGGTTAAGGGTCCTGCTGAATCTTGGTAGGTTTTGTCCTTCCTGTCCCCTCATCCTGCCCCCACCCAGATTCCCAGAGCTCCATTGCTTGGAGGTGGAAGAGATGGGGATATCGGATGCACCTTGAGTCTCTTGGAAAAAGGGCTGGCCGGGCTTGGTGGCTCACACCTGTCATCCCAGCACTTTGGGAGGCCGAGGCAGGCGGATCACTTGAGGTCAGGAGATTGAGACCAGCCTGGCCAACATGGTGAAATCCTTTTTCTACTAAAAATACAAACAATTAGCCAGGCATGGTGGTGCATGCCTGTAATCCTGGCTACTTGAGAGGCTAAGGCAGGCGAATCGCTTGAACCTGGGAGGCGGAGGTTGCAGTGAGCTGAGATTGCACCATTGCACTCCAGCCTGGGCAACAAGAGCCAAACTCCGTCTCAAAAAAGCAAAACAAAACAAAACAAAAAAACCAAAAAACAAAAACAAAATAAACATTAGCCAGGCATGGTGACACATGCCTGTAATCCTGGCTACTTGAGAGGCTGAGGCAGGAGAATGGCTTGAACCTGGGAGGCGGAGGTTGCAGTGAGCTGAGATTGCACCGCTGCACTCCAGTTTGGGCAACAAGAGCCAAACTCCGTTTCAAAAAACAAAACAACCCCCAAAAAACAAAAACAAAAACAAAATTAGGCGTGGTGGCATATGACTGTAATCCCAGCTTCTTGGGAGGCTAAACGGGAGAATTGCTTGAACCCGGGCGGTGGAGGTTGCGGTGAGATGCGATTGCATCATTACACTCCAGTCTGGGCAACAAGAGCCAAACTCTGTCTCAAAAAACAAAACAAAACAACAAAACCCAAAAAACAAAAATAAAATTAGCCGGCTGTGGTGGCTCATGCCTGTAATCCCAGCTACCAGGGAGGCTGAGGCAGGAGAACCGCTTGAATTTGGGAGGCGGCGGTTGCAGTGAGCCGAGATCGTGCCGCTGAACTCCAGCCTGGGTGACTGAGCAAGATTCCATCTCAAAAAAGAAACAAAACAAACAGACAAACAAAAATAGTATTTCGTTTTTCCTTATTTAAAAAGCAATGCATTTTCACCATGGGCAAGATTCCATCTCAGGAAAAAAAAAAAAAAGAAAAGGAGAAAAAACAAGGTTGGATCTGGAAGGGGAGAAGCTGGGGCTGAGCTTCCCCAGGACAGAGGGAGCAGTGGCAGCCACAGCTGCCCCTCACCAGAGCCCCGCTGTCGCTCATCGCCCAGTGCGCTCCCGGCCCTCCCTCCCTCTGCTCCTCCACCCTCCACTCCGTCCAGGGCCCAGCCCATGGCCCAGCCATCCACTCCTTCCCTGCCTGCCCATCCCCGTCCTAGGCCCAGGGTACGAAGATGTAGTCGTCCATGAAGCGCTTCCGGAGGTTGCCAGCGATGGCGTCTTCGGTGATCTGGGGCAGGAGCACCATGTCGTCCACGCCACTCTGTTTCACGTTGTGGCTCTGCCAGTGGAAGCGCTCCTTGCTGCCCTGGAGGGGGAGGAGGGTTCGGGGTGAGCTCCGGCAAGGGGACGCGGTGTCTGGCTCACCAACGCCAGCAGCTTCTGGGTTCTGTCCCACCTCCCCCACCCCACCTCCATTCCTCCTTCCCCACCTCAGGGAAAGGCTGGCAGGGTTCAAGCCACACCCCCTGTCCCCGGACAGAAGATGCACGGCTCAGATCCAGCCCTCAGCCCTCTCTTTTTATTTTTATCTTATTTAATTTATTTATTTTGAGACGGAGTCTCGCTCTGTCGCTCAGGCTGGAGTGCTGTGGTGTGATCTCAGCTCACTGCAACCTCCACCCCCACAGGCTCAAGCAATTCTCCTGCCTCAGCCTCCCAAGTAGCTGGGATTGCAGGCACCTGCCACCACACCCGGCTAATATTATATATTTTTGCTAGAGACGGGGCTTCGCTACATTGGCCTGGCTTGTCTGGAACTCCTGACCTCAAGTGATCCACCACCTCCGCCTCCCAAAGTGCTGGGATTACAGGCATGAGCCACCTTGCCTGGCCTCTTTCTTTCTTTATATTTTTTCATTAAATTTTTGTTTTTACAGCAGGTGCAATGGCTCAGACCTGTAATCCCAGCACTTTGGGAGGTTGGGGCAGAAGGATTGCTTGAAGCCAGGAGTTTGAAATCAACCTGGGCAACATAGCAAGGCCCTGCCTCTATTTAAAAAAAGCAAGGCCAGGCGTGGTGACTCACGCCTATAATCCCAGCCCTTTGGTTGGCCAAGGCGGGGATCACGAGGTCAAGAGATCGAGACCATCCTGGCTAAGGTGGTGAAACCGCGTCTCTACTGAAAATACAAAAATTATCTGGGTGTGGCGGCACATGCCTGTAATCCCAGCTACTTGGGAGGCTGAGGCAGGAGAATCGCTTGAACCTGGGAGGCGGAGGTTGCAGTGAGCTGAGATTGCACCACTGCCCTCCAGCCTGGTGACAGAGCAAGACTTTGTCTCGGAAAAAAAAAAAAAAAAAAAGAGAGAAAAAGAAAAGGCCTGTAATCCCAGGATTTTGGGAGGCCGAGGCAGACGGATCACCCAAGGTCAGAAGTTCGAGCCCAGCCTGGCCAACATGGTGAAACCCTGTTAATACTAAAAATATCAAAAATTAGCCAGGCATAGAGGCAGGCATCTGTAATCCCACTTACCCAGGAAGCTGAGACAAGAGAATTGCTTGAACTCAGGAGGTGGAGGTTGCAGAGAGCTGAGATTGCACCATTGCACTCCAGCTTCGCAGATAAGAGTGAAACTGTCTCAAACAAACAAGAGTTCTCAAGCCATGAAAAGACATGGAGGAAACTTAAATACATATCGCTAAGTAAACGAAGCGCCAATCTGAAAAGCGTACATACTATCTGAATCCAACTATAGGACATTCTGGAAAAGACAAAACTACGAGAACAGTAAAAGATCATTGGGGCCAGATGCAATGGCTCACACCTGTAATCCCAGCACTTTGGGAGGCTGAGGCAGGAAGATTGCCTAAGGCCAGGAGTTCAAGACCATCCTGGGCAACAGAAGAAGACTCCCCGTTTCTACAAAAAATAGAAAAATTAGACAAGAATTGTGGCACGCATTTGTGGATCTAACTACTCTGGAGGCTGAGGTGGGAGGGTCACTTGAGCCCAGGAGGTCGAGGCTGAAGTGAGCCATGATCACATCATTGCACTTCAGCCTAAGAACAGAGTGTCTCAGAAATAAATAAAAAAATAAAGGCTGGGTGTGGTGGCTTAAGCCTATAATCCCAGCACTTTGGGAGGCCAAGGTGGGTGAGTCACTTAAGGTTAGGAGTTAGACCAGCCTGGCCAACACGGTGAAACCTTGTCTCTACTAAAAATACAAAAATTAGCCGGGCGTGGTGGTGGGCGCCTATAATCGCAGCTGCTAGGAAGGCTGAGGCAGGAGAATCACCTGAACCCAGGATGCAGAGGTTGCAGTGAGCTGATATTTTGCTACTACACTCCAGCCAGGATGACAGAGTGAGACTCTGTCTCAAAACAAACAAACAAACAAACTAAAAAACTGTAAAATAAATAAATAAATAATAAAATTTTGAGACAGGGTCTTGCTCTGTCGCCCAGGCTGGAGTTCAGTAGTGCAATCACAGTTCCGTGCGCCTCAACCTCCTGGGCTCAAGCAATCCTCCCGCCACACAACAGCCTCTCGAATAGCTGGGACTACAGACCTGTGCCACCATGCCTGGATAACTTTTGTATTTTTTGTAGAGATGGGTCTTGCTGTGTTGCAACAACTGGTCTTGAACTCCTGGGCTCAATTGATTCATCTGCCGCAGTCTCCCAAGTGGTGAGATTATAGGCCTGAGCCACCACACGTAGCCCCTCAGCCCTCTCCTTTGGTCTCTGTTCATCCATCACTCCACCTAGTGCCCCTTATCCCCGATGAAGGATGCCAGGCTTGGCGGGGAGGGCACAGGGTGCTTAGTGATCTGTAGGCTGTGGGAGCAGAGCAGGGAGATCAGGCAGCTTGGTGGAGAATGGGCGTGTCCCGGTTCTCACTTCCCGCCAGCCTCCCAGCCTCTTCCTTTCCCATCCCCCGTCTCCTCCCCAGGCCCAGGCCAGTCCCTGACTTCTCTGTGGCATTTGACCCACTGCTGCCAGGTGGCCTCCTTCCTTCCCCTCTCTCACCTCCTCTTTTGTGGTCACACATCCCAGCCAGTCCCTTTGAGCTCCTCCAGGCCACCATGTGCTGTGATCTCTGCCTTCTGTGCCTGCGTGTGACCTTCCTCAGCTCCACCCTTCACTCCTGGCCCTGCCTCCCTGCTGTCTCTGCTGCGGCCTTCTCTGTCCTCTGTGTACTGTTTTTCTTTTCTTTTTGTTTTAATCAGAGTCTAGCTCTGTCACCCAGGCTGGAGTGCAGTGGCATGATCATAGCTCACTGCAGCCCTGACCTCCTGAGCTCAAGAGAGCCTCTCACCTCAGCCTCCTGGGACCACAGGTGCACGCCACCATGCCTGGCTCTATTTAATTTTTTTTTGTATTGATGGGGTCTTGCTATGTTGCCCAGGCTGGTTTTGAACTTCTGGCCTCAAATGATCCTCCCACCTCAGCCTCCCAAAGTGGTGGGATTTCAGGCATGAGCCACCTTGTCTGACCCAGATGACACTTTCTTTAGGCCCCATGGAGGAGACTGAGTCATGTGCTTTCCAAAAAACTCCTCTTCCAGGAAGCCTGCCTGGTTGCTCTCTCCTTTGAGCCCAACTGATTTTATCTAGTGCTTTAAACACTCTGGCTTTCTCAGGCTTACTCTGTCTCTATTCAATACATCTTTGCAAAGGTGGAGTCTGACAGATAGGAGTGATGGCAACTTGGAGCTCCCTCATTTGGTGAACTCATGGTCAGATAAGATGTCTCTCCTCCTGGAAACTTCCCATTCTCAGGCCAGGAGCTCCTAGAGGCAGAGACTGGGGCTGAGTTGTTTCTCTGTGAAATGAACAAGTGACGAAAGCAAAGAAAGAAACCCAGATTCAGGGCAAAACTCTCCAGAGCAAACAAAGCTGGTAATTGAAGTTATTTTTTTTTGAGATGGGGTCTCACTGTGTTGTCCAGGCTGGATGGGGTGCAGTGGTGCGACCATGGCTCACTGCCACCTCCACCTCCCAGGCTCAAGCGATCTGCCCACCTCAGCCTCCTGAGTAGCTGGGACTATAATTTTTTGTATTTTTGGTAGAGACAGGGTTTTTTCTCTGGTCTTGAACTCCTGAGCTCAAGTGACCTTCCCGCCTTGACCTCCAAACTGCTGTGATTACAGGCATGAGCCACCGTGTCCAGCCTGGGATTGAAGTCTTTAAAGTGGTCTGTGTTTGCCAGTGGGTTCCAGGGCTACAGGCAGGGCACAAGCAGAAGGGTCTATATGAGCAACCGTAAGCGAGAAGTGAAGCTGGTCTCTCCTGGGGGTACTGGGAAGCCATAGAATATTCTTGATTGGGTGGGGGGTAGAGGTACATGGTCAGATTCTGGACATGCTGACAGCTAGAGGTGGGGGTTGTCAAGGGATGCCCATGGGCATTAAATAAGCCCAGCCTTTGGCATGAGGGTAGATCTGGGTTCTAATCCTGACTGGGCAAACATACACAGCTTCGAGTCTCCACTGTCTCATCTGTAAAAAGGGAGAAGCAGGCCAGGTGCGGTGGCTCACACCTGTAATCCCAGCACTTTGGGAGGCCAAGGTGGGTGGACCACGAGGTCAGGAGATCAAGAGCGTCCTGGCTGGCATGGTAAACCCCGTCTTTACTAAAAATACAAAAAATTAGGCAGGCGTGGTGGCAGGCACCTATAGTCTCAGCTACTTGGGAGGTTGAGGCAGGAGAATTGCATGATCCTGGGAGGCCGAGGTTACAGTGAGCGGAGATCGTGCCACTGTGCTCCAGCCTGGCAAAAGAGCTAGACTCCATCTCAAAAAAAAAAAAAAAAAAAAAAGAACAAGGGAGTAGCAGCTCCACTTCTCAGGGTTGAGGAGAGGATGAACTGCTTTGGAGAACAAGGTGGGATGGAGAGCTGGTGCCCCTCCCCAAGCCTGAGTGGTCATGAGGATAGACCCAGGCTGAGGGGCATTTGACAGAATTAACACTCACCGAGCACCTATGCTGTGCCTGATTTGGGGGATGTAGATCACTGATGTTACCAGCCATCGTCACACCATCTCAGTGTGGGGTAACCTCGGAGGGAAACTGAGGCTTGAGAAGGGCAGTGGCTTCCCTAAGGACACTTGACTAAAGACACAGGTATTGTTTCCAAGGGTGTGGGATGTGAACTTGGGTCTATTCAATAGCAAAGAACAGGTTCTTGGCCAGGCGAGGTGGTTCCCGCCTGTAATCCTAGCACTTTGGGAGGCTGACGTGGGTGGATCACTTGAAGTGAGGAATTCAAGACCAGCTTGACCAACATGGTGAAACCCTGTCTCTACTAAAAATACAAAATGTTAGCCAGGTGTGTTGGTATATGCCTGTAATATCAGCTACTT